TTTTCAGAGCTAAGTGCATAATCCAGTTCTGTATGCCTTTTCTTACTCTTTAGGTGAAAACATTCAGTGCCAACTATTGCCCACATTCTTGCTTTACAGATTGAAAAGAAGACTGCCAACTGCAGGGTATTTCCAAAAACCCAGAATTATGTTACTTTTAACTGTGCTCTACCAGAAAATCTGGCCTCAGGGCGAAATTGCAAAAAATATACTCAGATATGAACATTTTTATTTTGTCTACAATGCTGTGACTGCAGTTCAAAGACTGCAGAAGTGCTTTCAACTTAATCTCTGCAGTTTTTCTTGTATTAACCTCTTACACAAAATGTTTAGTGTCACAGCATCACTATCACCAATAAAGACACATAAATATTTATGCCTTAAAGTCAGGGTCAAAAAAGCAAACATGAAGCCTGAGGTAATGTGGCCTAAAAAAAATGCCCAATCAGAATTCTGCATTTTGCCAAGAAATATTTGATTAAAAATGCATGCATGTTACTTAATTGCTACATATAATTATTTCTCCTGATTTAAAGTAGTCTGTGAGCATATGAGTTATATAAAGCAACAAAATGTCTACATTCTTAAGGCAATGACATAAATTTACAAGGAAAGAACCCTATCCTTTCTCCCCAAATTTCTTTTCAGCTTGAACAATCCAATATGAATAAGAAAGACAAACGGCTATTTTCTGAGGAAAATGAAAATTTCACTGGAAGAAGTAAGACTCTTGTTCCTATAGACAAACGGTAAGAACCAACTTTTTGCTACAACACTGTGAAGGGCAGAATTTAATATAGAACTAGAAATATGGCAAGTTACCTAGTGACTAACATTGTAAAATAGCCAAAAATGTAAAAGCCACAGGGAGAAAGAATAGTCAATTGTGAAATGGAAAATATATAATATTTAAGTATTTTTATAATTCTAAAACTTTACTTTTGTCCTTAAAAAATCAATATATTATGAATTTTGTTGTTTAATAACTTATCTTTAATTACAAATAAAAGCAAATCCCTGTTTCCTATCCCAAAAGAGCAAACTGGGAAGTTTGGAAAAGAATTCTAATTTTTCTGAAAGATAGAATAATGTCCTATTGAAATTTTATTAAAAAAAAAAAAAAAAAAACTCAAAGCCCTCCGTGTGGAGTTAATGAATCCTTGTCACCTCTATCATCAGCTGCATTATTTTTCCAAGGAATCTTTTACATCTCAATAGTGAAATTTTGGTACTATTCTGGACCTCATGGCAGCAAGCCAACTGATATTGATGTTAATGTGGGTTAATACACCCTGGCCAGGTCTTCTCTGGTCAGGAACAGTCCCAAGAAACATCCAAAAATCCATTTCTGTGAATACAGCTAAGAAAATAGGCCAGAACCACCTTCAAGCTATCAGTAGATACGGAAGGTCTTTACCTTGTGGTGGTACCTTCCAGGCATCTCAGGCAGCAATCTTTTGATTGCTGAGCCATATCCCTAGCCCTATTTTGTATTTTATTTAGACACAGGGTCTCTCACTGAGTTGCTCAGAGCGTTGCTTTGCTGAGGCTGGCTTTGAACTCGCCATCCTCCTGCCTTAGCCTCCCGAGCCACTGGGATTACAGGTGTGCGCCACCATGCCCGGTTCAAGCAGCAATTTAAAGGGGACAGAAAGGAACTAAGTGGGGAGCAACTTAACAAAAAAGTTAATACTAGGTCCGTACATTCCAGAGACTACTGGATGTATAATAACTTGGTGAAGGGGTATATGACAAAGCTTTATTTGACATTAATGAATTCCATTTATTACTGTTGTCAAGCTGCCTAAAAAATGACGTGCTAAGCTGCCAAATTAGGACTTTGGAAGGTATGGTGGTATGGGCCTGCAATGCCAGCACCTCAGGAGGATAAGGCAGCAGGATTTCAAGTTCAAGGTCAGCTTCAGCAAGTTAGCAAGACTCGGTGTCAATAAAAGAGCTGGGAACATCTCTCAGTGGTACAACACTCCGGGGTTCAATCCTCAGTACGGCCTGACTCCCACCTCTAATTATGCTAATGAAAATTACACTGATGGTTCATCCATGGAACAAAAATGTCTACAAGCAAGTGAAGAACTTTTTCCTGGGATCTGAGATTTAAACAGTGAATCACACATCATTGTTAAAATGACCCCAACTGATAATTTTTCTATGAGTGTATGTGTATTTAAATTTGTATGCTTTACTTCCTACTAAAAAGTGTGAGGCAGTTCTGCTATAATGCAAAGGTAGCTATAATATCCAAGATAGAACACTCCCTACTCAAGAAATTACATGAACACTTGAGAGAAGTTCTTATTATAAAGGCAGTCACAAGACTAGTATAGCTCACATTTCCCAGCTGTTGAGGCTCAAAACTCAGCAATTGTACTCCCAAAAGATAATTTGCCCCTTAATCCCAGCACACAAAAGGTAGTCCAAACAGAATATTCATGAAAACTTGAATAGGAAGGTAGAGATGGAACTCAATAGCAGGATTCTGACTCTCTGGAGACCACACACCATTATCTTCCTGATCCGTACTAAATAACAACAATCCAGTGCTCTGAGATAGAAGAAGGCTGGTATGAAAGGGAAATTACTGGCTGCAAGTGGCAGAAAAGTCCATAATCTTAAATATAACTTAAAATAGAATCTGATAATTTGCTACTTGACAGTCACAAAGGCATTTAACTGGACAGAATTTCAGAGTCATTTATAAGATTAAAGCAGTGTACCAATTTTAGTACTAACATTCTTGGTTTAAAAAAAAATGAAGACAGCATATGAAAGCACCCTCCTTTTCTGGATTACAGTAAAATTCAAAGGAGAGAGAGATTCTGATTCTGCAGATAAAATACAAATTGACAGGGGAAAGAACAATCAGCAAGTACCACTTGGATACATGTTGTCAGAGGGTAAGAAAAATAAAATTCAGTTGAGGAATATAAAGGATTTAGCAAAGTAAAGCATATGAAGAAAATGGGCATTAATTTGATTGATTCAAACATCAATGCCTTAGATCAGAGTTAAGAGGAAAGATCCCTGGTTGCTTATACCCATGGATTAGTGAGTTATCTAGAGATACTCTGGAGGCTGGGGCTCAGTGGTAGAGTGCTTACCTAGTGTGCAAAAGGCCCTGGGTCTCTCCCCAGCACTGGGGTGGCAGGGGGGGATACTTGGGGAGATGGCCAGAAGGGGACAAATAGGAATGTTCATCTTTAAACCAAAGACTGTACATAAAGATAAATTTTAAGTACAGTGAAGATTGTCTTGTGTTACTTTATATCTATAAGATCAAAAGGATGCCTAACACAGAATAAATGCTCAAACTATTTAGTAATTTTTTAAAATGATAGATTTTCAAGGTCTATATGGGCAGTTTTTGGAAGAGGTAGAAAATCAACTGGGTATATACTTTCTTTTATTTGATTTCAACCAGCAAGAGACTAGACTGATTGTTTTTCACTTTCAAAGTCTTAGTCTTAACCAAAACTTACAACAAAGGTATAAATAAAGTGAAATTAAAATAATTTTAACAAAGGAGAAAATTTGAAGATGTTCAAAGATGGATCAAATAAAATAGCATATGGTTTAAGGTAAAAAATATAACTAGATATTAAATAATTTGCAAATATGGACTCAGAATACAGAGTAAGAGTACATAAATGGAATACTTAGCATTTAAGAAAAATCAGGCAGATTTTTTTCTGGCAAAGTGACAGGTCTGAGAGCAACTAAGCCCCACACATTAAGCCCCATTGGAGGCCAGAACCATATCCTAGTCATCTTTTTATTATTCAATATCTGTCACAGTGGCTGGATAAACATAGGTATCAATAAGTGTTCACTGACTGAATGTATACTATAATTGGCATAGTTCAGACCTTACCAGGAAAGCTTCTTTAAACAGGATGAAAGAGCACAATTCAGTGGTATTCCAAAAGACTGGCCCAAATCCAGATTTATTTTCTAACTTGGGTATAAAGACTTTTCAAATTTTATTCTTAAAAAAGCAATCAAACTCTTTTTTGAAATATCAGACAGAACTCCAATATAAAATAAGCTGCCACTGATTGAACCAAAGTCAGTGGGAACAGCATTAGCCTCTACACCCTAAGCCAGCCTCACAGCGTCTTTGTGGAGCTGCTGGGAAAATCCCAACTCATTTTAGAACTGGGTTAGCAGCATGGCGATCTAGTTCCCAGGGTGTTACAGTGCAGATACCACCAGTACCATGGAGAATAAATTCTAAATAATATTGCTGATTAAATAAGGACAATTCAAAAGAGAGGAGACCCTATCATTTGGAATAAAAACCATCTCTATAAAGGAAAAAAAAAAAAGGAACAAAAATTAGGCCACAGTAGAAAAAATATAATGCAAAAATCAGTATCTCATTAAAAAGCAAATATGATCATTAAACATTCATACAAAAGAAAGCACTGTGCTTAAGTTGAATGCTCAATAGTATAACTGCTCAATACAATAGGTGTCTCCAGAGTTCAGTCCCAGTTTCATGCTGTACAGAAAAAAATCCCACCTGAAATATGGAGATGTGCCCCACTACTGAAATGCCATAGTTGGCACTACTTCATCTTACTACACATCAATGCAAGATCAACTGCCAGGACCTTCTACCACATTCAAAGTTGTTCTCAGCTTCCAGATCTGTTGCCTAACATTAGTCCTCCTGCATATAAAAACTTCCCAAAAGGATAGACGCTCCACAGATTACCTCCAGCAGGCCTGACAGTGGTTAATAACTGGGACATTTACTCTAATCACAAGATAGGCCAAAGTAATAATTAGCTGGCAGTTGGAAGTCTGGAAACAAGCAGCAGGTCACTATGTTGGTGAAAAATTGCAAAGAAAGCATTGGTGGATTAAGTGGTATTGACCTGGTGCAAACAAGATTTTTATAGCAAGATTTGAGAAAGAAGATGTAAGTGATAATGACACAAAGCAGTCGATCACAAAATAAGGCCACCTTCACCATATTATAAACTGTAGAACCATTCTGATCTTCAAGTTTGGATTTGTGTAGAGGTTTCTGTATAAAGAATTAACACCTAAGAGTGAGTCTCCTTTAGAATGAGCCTTTGCACTTGATGGTATTCTCTTCACCAGGAGTGCTTATCTCCCTTGATTCTTCACATGGTTTGGTCCTTCTAGGTCAGGTGTTAGCTTGAACATCACTTCCTTAGAGGCCTTCCCGATGTCCTACCTGAAGCATCCCATCTGTTATTCTCTAGCACAGTACCCTGTTTATCTCCTTCACAGGATGATTACAGGTTAGAATAACTGCTGTCTCAGCAAAGGCAGGAACTGTAGCTGTCTTGTTCACCTTTACTCAAAGGCTAAGAAAGTTCCTGGCACATAACAGGTGAACAATAAATATTTGTTGAATGAGTAAAAAAATTACTATAGCAAATTTTACATGAACACATACATATACACAAATATATAGGAAAATGGGGGAGTATCCAATAGAAAACAACCAAATGCTGAAAGTATCGAAAACGATACCTGTACATACAGGTGAATATGGTCTCAAAGAACAAGTACCAAAGGTATCTATCTTCAAAAATATGAAAATTTACGAAAAAAGGATCAGGAGTGGTATTTTCCATTTCTATTAAGATGCAAACAAGAAGAAATGTCTACATTGCAATGAGTCAACATTAGACATAATAATAACTTGCTGCAGAATGGACTCCCAACAGAGCTGCTGGAATCTCCTCTCACTGTAGAGCATAAAATATGGTCAACCACATACCCAGGATTAGTTAAGATCAGCTCAGACTGCAGGTAATTATAAGCTAAAAAACTTGCTAAACAGTTTCTCCCCCAATTTTAAAAATTCTGAATTCGTAATTATGTAAAATAACATTCAATTTATAAATTGAATACAACATACTTTAAAAACAGATGGCCCTTAACTGCTGATCATACCTCAGCATCACTTTTCTAGGTATTTTTGCAGAAGCAATTACATTTATAAAAGGTCCATTTCATAATACAATCTGGTAAGTAAGTCAAATGAAGCTACTTAAATCAAAGAGCAGAAGGCCTGCTGCTGAAATATTTTAAAATACCTTTTAAAAAATGGTATTTCTATTTATAGATTGGCTTTAAAAAGGATAAATATACTGAAGTAATTCTAGCATATCCCTGAAAACAATTATACTGCCACTTGTGCATTCGTTATGAGAATACGGAAGGTTAAATCAATACACTGATAGGTTACACAAGTCAATTATTATCTGTTGAAATCTGGTTCTAAGACAAGGGAACTTACTCTGCATGAACTTTTACTGGACCCAGAATTAACTGGTGCCAGCAGTGTCAGCACAATTGGCAATGATGTCACGCTGCACTGTTTTGGTATCAGAACAAAAGTGGGATGAAGAAAAGAGGCTTGGAAAGGTTTTCAGTATGGTTTCCTTATAATGAGATTTAGCAGAAAATAAACAAACATAAAAAGAATGACTGTTAAGCCCCACTGAACACATTAAAATCATGGATTTCAAAAGTTAATCCACTTTTCTTCCCCCAAGAGTTTATTTTTGGTAAAAGGCAGAAAAATTAGTTTTTCCACAAGGAAAATCTGCTTCTAGATGATAATTTGAAAATCTTGATATATATTATATATTAAAAAAGACACAAAAATAACGGAGAAGTGGGAATAACAGATTAGGTACTGTAACTTTATAAAGGCTTGCCTAGATCATGAAGCAGCACACACACACACCTCATTTATGCAAACTAAAATGTATATAAACGGCACAATACTGCGATACTGGGTCATGATACATTACCTGTACACATAACTACTACTGTTATTAATAAACCTTTGGGACACTCAGTCTTATGCCCAACAAGATACCATTAAGTCTTTAAATCTTCTTTTCCCCCTTAATGGGAAGACACTTCTAGACACTAATTTTCCCATCTAATATTCAAATATAGGAAACAGATTTCCACAAGGTGCTTTAACTGATGAGACCTCAAGTGCTGTTTTCTCTCTGGAATTTTTGGATAGCAAACAGTCCATCGGGACCATACACAAATACTATGACAGAAGAGTTGTTACATTAAGTCTTTTGATGGGACTCAGTTGGTGATGAGCTTTATGACATGCTTGAGCAACGCACTGAAGGGGATCCCATCTGAGTTAATACTTTGTCCAACCACTGTAGAGGTCCATTCAGATGAAGTTCAATCCAGCAAGGAGTACTTGTTACCGTCTGTCTTCTGTTTGAAAGAATACAAGAAAATAATCATGAAATTAAGAGAACAACATGGCTATATTTAGGAATCTGCATTAAGAATTCAGAGAAATTTAAATGCTGTATTAGCCAGGTATGGTGGTACACACTTATAGTCCCAGAAAGCTGAAGTGGGTGTGGTCACTTAAACCCAGGACTTAAGACCAACCTGGGGAACATAATGAGACCCTGTCCCCACCCATGACATGCCCGTGCCCCCCCCCAAACCAAAAATATCCCTCTATATACTAAAATCTAACTCCTTTTTTGGATGATTTTGAATATGATTATTATTTGGAAAAATGGATGATTTTCAAAGTATTGCAATGATTTTTTTTCTTCTTGAGAGATTTTTAAAAAACATTCTTTTCTGAAATTAAAATTAGTATGTTGTTTGCAGGCACCTGGATGAAGCTGGAGAATATCATGCTAAGCAAAATAAGCCAATCTCCCAAATCCAAAGGCCAAATGTTTTCTCTGATATGTGGATGCTAATTCACAATAAGGGGAGGGTAGAGGAAAACAGAGGTACTTTGTATTGGGCAGAGGGGAGTGAAGGGAGGGGAGGAAGTGTGGGGTAATAAAGGATAGTAGAATGAATCAGACATTACTACCTTATTTACATAAATGATGACACAACTGATGTGATTCTACATCATGTACAATCAGAAAAATGAAAAATTATACTCCATGTTAGAACAACAACAAAAAATTTAGCATAGTGACTTCCCAAGAGGAGAGATATGAACTAGGAAAGACTTCCCCAAACTGAGAAATGTGGAAACCTTAAGCACATTAAATCAATCAGACTAGTAGACACTCAAAATATTGAATGGAGTTTAAATGAAACAGGGTTCAAATTTAAAATATATCAAAACAAAACAGATTTCCCCTTTGGTATCAGGGATTGAACCCAGGGTGCTTACTCACTGAGCCACATCCCCAGCCCTTTTTGAGATAGGATCTTACTAAGTTGCTGAGGCTGGCTTTGAATTCTCAATCCTCCTGCCTCATTTCAAGTCACTGGGATTATAGGCATGAACCACCACGCCCAGTATCAAAATAGAATTTTGACCCAAACAAAATTCTCACCACAGAAGACTAAGTTCAACTTTCTCTGAAAGAGCCAGTGAACAACATCCCTTTGGCAACATCACTGAGGCTTTTGCTTAAACACCACCTCTAGTACTTCAACAAAAAGGGCTACTCCCTGGGAATCACAAATTATTCAATGACATCCTGTCTCTTCTAAAGAACTCATTTTAGTTCTTTCTTATTCACTATATAGAATAAGTCAACAAATCTACTTTTGCTTTTTTAACATAATGGCCCTTTAAACATGACACAAGTCCATTATCAACTCTTCATCTCCAAACTTTAAAATCAGATTCACTCAACATTGATTTGGTATTCTCATTCTGGTACATATGCTGGTGGGAAAAGTATACAAACTATGCCTTTAAGCTTTCCAAAGTGGAATTTGAAAAAATTTTTAAATGTTTAAATTTTAATGAGTTCATTCATAGAAAGACGAAGGCAGTGCTTCTAGGCACCAGAGTAAACACATTGTCAATCTGTCATTCTGAAAAAGAAATATGCCTAACATTGTTGAAAACTATTTCCAAGGATGTGACTTTCTGTAGCAGATGGCATCAGTGCCCCACTCTACCTTCAGATTTCCAGTGTGCTCTAACCAATTTCCAACTGCAGGTTTCTGAATTTCTATGCTTGAGAACTTCCATGCTATGCCTGTAGTGCCAGGAAACTGGCATCAGCTGACATGGGTAACTAATGAGAACTACTTATTCAAATGGTCTCAACTAATTTGTCCAGTTTTATTTTTCTCTATTCTCTAAACTCCACACCAAACTGCTACTGCTACTCTGTTGTCAGGATTACAGTTTTCCACACCACCCATCCCCATCTACTGAAATCTTATGCACCTTTATCTCTACCAGAAAGCCTTCTATGAGCCCCACAATTCTCCTTTTATGAACTGAAACAATCCTTCAGGTATACCCCTTTTATAATATTTAACTTTCTGCATTATGTTAAAATGCATGTCTGCATATTTTAATCATATCTTCTCTATAATGCCAGCATACTAATTTACAACAGTTTTGATCTAGAAGCCCTCAACTTTCACTGTTTTACAAAAAGATCTGATGACTCCACACCTCAATGAAAATAGATATAATGAAGATCCAAAATAATGGAATAAAAAATAATTACATTATAGAAATGTAGGAAACAAATATGTATTTCTTACCGATATTCTGCTCCCCATCCTTTCACAAAACTCATTCTTATGGTGCACATTCTAGTTAATTGGTACACGGCTTCAAAACCCTGATTAACAGACTGAGCCAGAAGAGCAGCAAATTCCTGGTTGTTGAAGATCTTCAGGTTACAGCCTAGGATTGAGAAAAAGTATGACTGTAAAAGCTGTATTGTTCTTAGAAAACAATTTTAAAAGGACAATAAGGTTTTATTTAGAACATGAGCATGCAAAGCATCACCTGAGTCCTAAAATTATTAGCAACTACAAAAACTAAGCAAGTTGATGTGACAGGTTTATTTACATTGTTGAGTCCATACCTGGTGGAATTTTACACACTGTTGCAGGGTGCCAGCCGTATCTCTGATTACAATTGGGGCTCTGCACAAAGATTGCACTATCACTTAGGCACTCAGCAAAAACTTCCCCACCTATGTAATATAAGCGCACTCCTCTTCCTAAAACAAAATACATATGGGGTTAGTCTTATAACACTTAACTATTTCAGTGTGACTTTGGGAGAGTCTTCTTGGAAAAATTCTGAAATGATATAAGGTATTGCATGACTTTTTTTTCACAGCCATGTTTTTCTGAATTCTAACTTTGAAATATACCACTGTATATTTTTTAAGTATTTTTTAACAATGTTTTAAAAATATGTATTTATAAAAAATACATAAACTATGTAAAAAAAGGTACAAGGATAATTCAATAGTTTCATACAAATTATGCATTATTTTGAAATCAGTAAAAGTAACTGAGTTAACCTCAAAGGAATTAACATACTTGGACAAATATTTCTTTATTAGTAGTAGTATTTCCTTATAGATCCCACTAAGGTTTAAAAAAAAGATTTTTAAAAAAAATCAAAGTTAAAAATATATATATTTATGGTGGCAACCAAATCTCTAAATATATAAGCAGAATTAGGTAAGAAAAATTATATTGGCTATTTTAATAATTCATTCTGAATTTGACCAAAGTCACGGCTGCTACTGAGAGATTTTGTCAGATATAATTAAGGCAGAAATCAACTGACTTTAAGAAATGGAGATTATCTTTGTTATACAGCAAGAAAACTAATAAGATAACCAACAAACCAGATTTAACAGACAAATGCAAAAATTAGTATTTGTTCCATTAAGAGACTATTCTATTATTAATAAGACTATGGAATATTTGTGAAGCAGTCAATCATGTTTTCAGGAAACATTAAATCTCCAAAGTGGATTTTTCAGGCTATATTCTCCGATATATATGCATTCTCTGGTCATATGATAAGTTAGAAATCAAAAGTAAAAAGATGATCTGAAATTGAAGCAAAAATTTTATTTGGAGAAAAGAAAAGAGTAGATGCAAATAAAAGTATAGGTGGGAACTAAGGGTTCCTCACTTGCAATGACACCTGGATACTTTAACAAGAATATCCAAATTTATATGTCAAGCAAGATTTGCCACGTTAAGTCAAGTAACAGAACCCCTAGGCACTACCATTTTACAGTTATCAATCACTATGGTAAATCAGCATTATTTCTTTAAGGATGTGATTTAATTCAAACAAAACAAAAATAAACTGCCTTTTGTCAAAAGAAGCTACCTTAAGGTAATAAGAATACTTCTCAATTATTAGTGGCTTTCAATTTTTTTGACCTTATTATTAAAAAAAAAAATACTGAGGACCCCAAAGGGTTTTTGTACGTGTGGATTATATTTGTAGAAACTTATCACATTATATGTTAAAATAAGATTTTTTTAAGTACTCATTTAAAAATCAATCTTATAACTTATTAATGTAAATAATAAGTATATAAAAAAGAACTATATTTCCAAAACCGCAAAACAAATATGAAGAGCAGCAATGTTTCACAGTTCTGCAAATTTCTTTAATGTTTGACTTAACAGAAGAGATGAATTCTCATAACATATCTCATATCTTGCAAAACTGTATACCTTGAAGCCTCTGGGACAATTCAGTGTACATTTCTGAGAGGATGAGAGTGAAAAATGGCAAGTAACATCTCAGCACCATTATGAAACACTTGTTACCTCACAAACTTACTGAAAGAGTGTCTGGTACTGCTAGACCCCCAGACCACATTTTAAGACACTCTGAATAATATTTTGAACCATATTAAATGTCAGTTCTTGTCTTAGAGATCTAGCCTCAGATTAATAGTGAGAAAGATCTGGTTTGATATATGAAGTCATAGAAGGAGCAAAACCAAAACAAGATATCAACAATGAAAACCCAGGAGATATAAATTGGAGGGAAAAAATCATGATTTATAAAAATCAGAACCCAAAAATCTAAACATAACAATTTCATGACTGGCGAAGATTCAGAAAGTTACAATTATTTTAACACATGTTTAATGAAGGACTTCCTCGTATCAAGGTTGCCAAATAAAGAGAAAGTCAAAGCAGAGTTTGTAGAATGAAGTCTCAACCAAGACTAATAGAAGTGAGGCATATGAACTTAAAGAGTGGAGAGAAGGATGGCATTTTCACACTCAGGTTCTTGATGTTGTAACCACATAAGGTCCATATGAACATACAGCACTGTTTTTTCACATAAGGAAAATAAAACATACCTATATGCCTTCTTGTCATTTCTACTGTAGCATTTCGGTTAACATTAGAGAGCAAACCTAAGCAGAACCTCTCTGAATTTGATGGGTCTGTAAAGCCATCTACAGTGAGCGAGGGCTGTGATGCATGGAAAGTCTCTCCAACCCTCTGGTTTAATTCATAATATGCTATTGAACACCAAAACGCAGGTTCTGAGTAAGTAACTGGCTGCAAATCTGGGGAAAAAAAGAAATAAGCAAAAGGAAGAAATGTTGTACCAACAATTCAAACATAAACTTCATCATCATCTTCATATGCTCTATGACAACATCAACTCTATGCCAGTTCAAGAGGTAGAAGTGCTATCTCTATTGGTTTCCATATCAGATTTTCCATTTTTCAAATTTCCCCATCTCATGAGGTCACTTATGTTAGATTATTTATTAGTAGTTTTAGCCTATTTCCTATTCAAACATAAAACAGCCACAGTCAAAAGTAAGTCAACTCACCATACTTGGTGCATTTCTGATAATGCACAATGAAGGTAATTTTTGGTAGACTAAGTAGAATAAAGCTGGTGCAACATTAATGAATCAAGAGCCACAAGAAAATGTGTCATAACAAAAGGATACAAAGTATGACATTTTTAGACATTTGTCTATTTTCACACAAAGTTCTTGACAAGTTATCTTTGTAGATAGAAAACTACAATAGAAAACTCATGCAGCACATATAAGAATAAGAAAGTAATAAAACAGTATTCAAGTGGAAACAGAATATGCCTGCAAGAGACCACTTTTCACAAGAAAATAAGGATCACATGTACTTCTGTGATTTTGACTAAAACATATCACAAGAAATACTATGAAAAAAAATGACAATTTTGTAGAATAAATTCCAAACATGTAGCAGCTGAAGAGGAACTGTCAAGTGGCAAGGCAAAGTGGAGGCAAAAAAATAAAGACATGTATACACACTCTCACTCATATATACCCTTCCATATGTTTTATGTACTCATCACACACACTCTTATATTAGTTGCTGCTACAAGATATATCATAAACATATCCATAGAAATATATCCATAACAGGCTAAAAATTTTTCCATAAAGAACATTTCCATGAATAAAAGAATATTTGATATATTCTTATACATTTTCAGTAATATTGAGACCCATTATCAATTTTTTAAAGCAGTCTTTAAAACCATTTGCCTAATTATTTTATTCATTGGTATTCTTATACATGAAAAATAATTTTCAGAGTGAACTTTTCTTAAGTGATAAAACAGAGGGGGAAAGAACTGGTAACTTACCCAGGCTATGATTGACAGGGGAGAGAGTAGTAGGAGACAGTTCTGCTGGAGAGCCTAAAACAAAAGAAGTCAATTTAAAAATAGATATTTAAGTGTTCCTAGAACTGTTGATTCTGATCAAGTACAAAAACCCCAGTTGTATCTGGCTGTAATTATCACCAATAATACACAGATAATTAAATCCCCAGAATTCAAAATATATTAACGATTTTATTTTAGTTTAATTTGGGAGCTTCAATATATAAAAGACACAAAATCATATAAACACTATTGGCTTATTATCTGGTTTCCCCTTCCAGAAGAATCCACTATTAACGATTTGTGTACTTTGCAAAAATAGTCTGTGAGTCATAAGTAAATTTATTTTTCTTCTGTGCCTCCTCTTTTCATACACAAATAGCTCAGTTCTAAACTTCTAGACTACTCTCAGAAACTTCATATTAGTGTTTCCTTGTCATTTACTTGTCTATTTACCTATGCATCAGCACTATAAAATTACATCATGATCCTATATTTAGAGATATTCAGGCTACTCTCGATTTTTCGAACATTTTGTGTACTACCAATCACATCTGAAGTATACTCTGGTTTAAACATTTTTGTCTTTGATAATATTTTGTAAAATTATCATTCACAGAATTTATACCAAATTACATTTCCAGTAAAAATACAAATGGTGAGGAGATATCATGATGATACTGTTGATACATGAAAACATGGTTTTTAACTACAATTTTAATTCACATAATTCTTATTAACACTGAGGAGCGTTATGCTTATTTATATTGTATTTCTTTTCTGTGAACAGTCTTTTTTCTTAGCTCATTTTTCTGTAGATATTGGTCATTTTTCTTACTTATTGAACAGGCTCTTCAAGTATTAGAGATACTAGTCTCTTCATGGTAAGGTTTGCAAATATTTGGTCACCTGTTTCATGACTCAATTCTAATTTTGAGCATGCAGCATTAAAAAAGTCCTTTTACATATGATTTGCTAATCATCTGGGTGTTTGTCTTACTTTTGACTTTAAGGTACTGCTTTTAGTATTTTCCTACTAAGCATGATACAAGACTTGATGCTAAGAAAGATAATTACTCAGGATTTTGGTATCAATAGCCTCAAGCAATACAGGTGTAGATTGCCATATCTGTAAGGTTTTGTAATCATTATTTTGACAATCTACAAGTTTTGTCTTTTTCTATGCTCTGCAACAGTTTAAAAATTGTGTTATAAAATCACATTCTTTAAAAGTTTGGTAAATTCCCTCATGAAACTGTTTGCAGTTAACAATTTTCTGGAAATTACTCTGAGACATTTCTCTATTTCTCCCATGGACGTTGGTTTAAGATAGGTGTTTCTTGGAATTAGTTTTGTTAAATTACATTTTCTGAGGAAATTATCTGATTCTTTGTGTTTTAACAAGTTAGATCTAATCAAAAAGAGGGCACAAATACACAAAATAAGAAAAAAAGAATGAACAAACTCTAGATAAGAAAGAAAAAAAAATCACTGAAATGACATTACTCAATTTCATGTGACTTTTAAGACATATTTGTTGAAAATGCTAAATAATGCTATTATGATTATAAATATAGAATCAATTTCATTTATGATCATCATTCTCTATATTTAGGCAAAGTTACCTTGAAGAACATGAGATCTCCCAAGCTTAAAATGCATGTGGGAGATGGTAGCTTCAAGCAGTCCACTCCACCACACACCACCATAACCACAACACAAAGGGCAGGCCACAAAGGAGAAATGGCAGCCCCAAAATAAAGAGACACATCAGAAGAACAGATGATGACAGTATTTTAGAACCCAGAATAGCCTTCCTCCATAAGTTACATTCTTTATTATTCCTCAGCCTGAAAAATCTGCTGGCAAGTCACAACAGGTACAACTAAGAAAGGTCAAAATATATTTAGAACAATGAATTAAAATTCAGTGCTATTTCCTGAAGCAGACATAAGATAAACAAACTATCAGAAATGGAGGAAATTGCCCATTATTCATATTTCTTAACTGTTTACTCTTCTATTAAATACTTATTTGAAATGACCAGTAGCGTCACTGTTCATTAATTTGGACTAATTAAGAGTTTAGTCAGATTCTTTACAGAACTAGGAAAAGTGGTCCTAAAATTCAGATAGAAAAAAACTGGATATACATACGTAGAAGAATAAAACTAGATCCCAACTTTCACCCAGCACAAAAGACTCAAATCAAAGACCTAAAAATTTGTAACTGCTAGAAGAAAACATAGGCTCAACAGTAACTGCAGTTTCCTCTAATAGTTCCTTCCATTTCTAATAGTTAGGGAACCTCTTTAAGACCTCTAAAGCTTAAGAAATAAAACTAAGGCTCAATAAGTGGGACAACATCAAATTAAAAGCTTTTGCACAGCAAAGACATTAAGAGTATGAAGAGAGAGCCCATAGAATGGGAAGAAATTTTTGACAGCTAAACAAAGAAATTTTTGACAGCTGACTCCTCTAACAGGGAATTAACACCCAGAATATATCAAAAATTCAAAAAACACCAGAGCAGCAAATAATCCAATCAATAAACAGGCAAAAGAACTAAACATGCATTTCTCAAAGGACTAAATACAAATGGCCAACGAATAAATGAAAAAATGTTCAATATTCCTAACAATCAGGGAAATACAAATCAAAACTAGACTGAGATTTCATCTCATTCCAGTTAGAATAACCATCATCAAGAATACAATTAATAATAAATGCTGGTGAGGATGTGAGGAAAAGGTACATTCATACATTGTTGGTAAGACTGCAAATTTATACAACCACTTTGGAAAGCAGTATGAAGAGTCCTCAAAAGACCAGAACTGCCACCATCTGTCCCACTCCTTAATATTTACCCAAAAGAACTAAAATCAGCATACCATAGTGATACAACCACATCAATGTTTATAGCAGTGCAATACAGCAGACAAATTATGGAACCAGCCCACCAACAGATGAATGGATAAGAAAATATGGTACATGTACACAGTGCAATTTAACACAGCCATGAAGAAGAATGAAATTATGGCATTTTCTGGTAAATGGATGGAACTGGAGAACATCATACTAAATAAAATAGGCCAGACTCAGAAAGTCAGAGACTGAATGTTTTCTCTCATACGCAGAATTTAGATGGGAGGAAAAAAAAAAAAAAGAAAAAAAAAAACCACAAGGGGGGTATGGGTCCCATGAAAATAGAAGGTAGATTAGTGGAGTAGAGAAAAGAACTGAGATAAAGGAAGGAGTGATGGGAAATAAAGGGAAGAAGTGTGCGATGAAATTCACCAAATTATGCTATACACATAAACGAATATACTACAGTGATTCCACCTTTATGTGTATCTATAAAGCACCAATTAAAAATAATAAACAGAAGGAAGACCAGCAAAGGAAGGTGAACAGGAGGAGGGAAGAGAAGAAGGAAAGAGGAAGCACTAGGGATTTAAATGAAGCAAATAATATTCCATGTGTGTATGAACTGTCAAAATGAACCCACTATTATATATGTAACTACGACGCACTATCATAAAAGAGTTCAGTCAGATGTGACAAGTTAGTTTCACATATTTTATAAAAAGAATCGCTCATTATAAAAATTTAAATAGCTTCTAACAGAAGCTATCAGAAAAACTTAAAGACAAATAATCAATAATTAGCCTATGGATTATTCATACATACATGTTGCTACTTAATTCTGGCCTACCAACAGACTTTCTAGGTATGCAAGTACTATGTAGTCTATTTTAGCCAGTTTGAATCAGCAGTGCCTATGATTTGCAGCTAAAACATCTAGCAAAATCCTTGTGTACGCTTTGGATACAAGTTCATATATATTTTGAAGGATACATTCTTCAGAGAGAAATGTTAAAGATAATAAGTAAGTGCCCAAAGAGGTAGTCCTCATGTGACTTACCCCCTAAATGTTTTCTTCTGTCTCCCCAGTCACAGTGCAGGATCTTTCATGGTCATCTTCACCTTCAAGCAAACTTAGTACTGATGCTGCCTCAGTGACATAAGCCCCCCCCCCCCCCCCCCCCCGCCACCACTACTAAGGCCTTTGCATGTAAGGTCATGTATGTAGTATGCTTGCATACAAGTTCATATATATTTGTAGGGCACATTTTCAAAGAGGGAATGTTAGATAGTTTCTTAAGTGCTAAAGTAATCTCTTGGTGTTTAGTTTCCCCAAGAATTTCTGAGCTAGTGTTTCATTGCACTGTCACTCCATATTGACATCTACCAATTTAACAAGTTTGAAGGAGGAACTCTTAACAAAAAATTTTGCGGAGACACTGGGGATTTAACCTAGGGGTGCTTTACCATTGAGCTACACCCCCAGTCCTTTTATTTTTTTTTTTATTTTGAGATAGAGTGTTGCTAAGTTGCTTATGTATGGCCTCCCGAAGTTGCTGAGGCTAGCTAGCCTCCTGAGTTGCAGGAATTGCAGGAATGTTCCACCAAACCCAGCATGTATCAATTTCTGATTTTTGTTGTAAATATCACACATTCTTTTTTGTCCATTTTTCTATTAACTACTATATTTTCCCTCTTGATTTGCAAATTTTTAAAATTCAGAATCAGTTCATAGAACTGCCTTTATAAATGTTTCCCCCAGTCTTTGGATCTGGTTTGGTGGTTTTGTTGTTGTTGTTGTGCTGGGGATTGAACCCAAGGCCTTGTGCATGTGAGGCAAGCACTCTACCAACTGAGCTATTTCCCCAGCCTTGAATTGGTGTTTCTTTCAAAGTGACATTGTTTTTTTTTTTTTTTTTCCTTACTCTTAAAAACAAAAACAAAACACACACACATAAACACAAAACAAAAATACCCATTTTTTTTTTTTTTTTAAACTAGGGACCGAAAGCAGGGAGCTTTATCACTGAGCTACATTTCTAGCCTTTTTTTAAGACAGGGTCTTGCTAAATTGAGTCTAGTCTCAAACTTACAATTCTGCTTCAACCTTCAGAGTTGCTGGGATTACAAGCATGTGCCACCACACCTGTCAATACTTTATTTTTTACAGTA